GTCTTGAAAAAATTAAAAAGTTGGTGGTCTTCAAGGGGCTTGGGGCAGTGGTTGGGGGAGGTTGATGGGCTTAGGGAGGTTTATAAGTTTAAGGAAGGTGGAGAGTCCTGACTTCCATGGCTACTCACCATGGCTGAGTAAAAGTGTGGGTCCAAGGCAGGAAGCTATCACATGTGAAGTTTCAATAGTAGACCTCGGATCACCAGGGAAGGCATCCAAGTTTGTGGGTTCATGTTCTTCTTGCCAGTGCTTAGAGAAGCACGTGTCCCCACAGAGACTGTGCAAGGTTGGGGTTCAGGTATGCAGCTCTGCCCAGGGAAGGGGAGACAGGGAAGCCCCTGGAGGTGGCTGAGTCACTGCACTGCTTCACATGCTTCTCATAGCTTCTACTCCTAGAAGAGTAGGGCAGTGCGGGCCAGGGAAGAATAAAAGAGAATCACAAACAGAAAGGGAACCACGAGGAATGGGAACAGGAGCTGGAGCAGGGCTTGATAGTAGGGAACACGCAGGCGGAGTCTGAGGGCCCACACCTGTAATCCCAGCACTTTGGGAGGCTGCAGTGGGAGGATCGCTTGAGCCTAGGAGTTCCAGACCAGCCTGGGCAACATGGTGAAACGCTGTCTCTACAAAAAATTAGCTGGGCATGGTGGCATGTGCCTGTAGTCCCAGGTACTTGGGTGGCTGAGGTGGGAGGATCGCTTGAGCCCAGGAGGTTGAGGTTGTAGTGAACTATGATTGCACCACTGCACTCCAGCCGGGGCAACAGAGTAAGACTCTGTCTCAAAATAAATAAATAAATAAAACAAAATAAAATAAAATAAAACTTTTTTACAAAAGAGTAGGGATTATGTAGAAGGAGCAAAGGATAGGAAGTAGGTAATGGGGACAAGGAGCAGGGAATAGGAAGAAGTAGGGGAGCAAGAAGCAGGAAGAACAGGGGCGAGCCAGAACACAAAGGGGACGCCTATGGCTGCGGAAGTCCCTGAGGGACTGACTCAAGGCCCCATCGCATCCTTTCCTATAGAAAGTCAGGAAGCCCTTTCTGGGCTCCTCCCTGAGCCCCTTCCAAGGATGCACCCCTCTATCTCGCAGAGTGCAGATTTCTATCCCTCAAAGGGCCTGGAGGGACAGAGGCCATGCCCCGAGGACCAGTGTAGCATAACCATATGTCCCTTGGCTAGGACATGCTATGATCCCCAAGTCTCAAAGACTCAGAACACTATGGACTGGGGACAGAAATTGCTGTAGCGGGCTGAAGTTGGGAACATAGTATTGTGGGGCAGGGGTTCTTCGTGGGGAGAATGCCCCAGGGATGGGGACTTTTTGTTCCAGGGTGGTGCAGAGGGAGACCTGAGGGTGAGGAGTCCACACAGGGTGGGGACAGGTTGGCTGGCCTGCCATTAGGAATCCCTAAAAGGGAACTTGTCCTCATGGTGTCGCCGCAGTTGTTGTGGGTGGGCGTGTAGATGGATCTAACCACAGTGCTCTTTATTATCAGGCGCTTCTATGAGCCACAGGTTCGGGACTCCACTAGGAACCTGGATTGTCTGTGAGGGGGAAAAGAGAGAGGGACACTGGGACTGAGGAGCGTTTATGGCGTAAAGAGCTGGGATCTCTGGGATCTTAGTATCGCATCAGTAGCTTTTGGGTCTCAGAGACCTACCCCATTCCTTCAGGCAGAGCAGGGTCAGGAGCTTGCATTTTGTTGAGGAGGCTGGTGTCGGGGAGAGATAGACATTAAATTATTGGTACTAATCATACACATTATTTCCAATATTGTATATTATTGTGCCTAATATCAAACATTGTTTGCAATATTATAAGTAATCACTAGTAAAGTTAAAAGTTATAGTTATCATAACTACTCCTAGTAGCTAATGCTTGTAAGTGCTATATACCTAGCACTGTTCCAAGTACTTCACATATACAACCTCGTTTAATATGGACGTTGTCTCTATGAGTTCAGCCTTCTTTTTATCCCTGTCTTACAGATGCAGGAACTGAGGCTCAGAGAGGTAATATGATTGATTCAAGGACACAGAGCTAAGACATGGCAGGGGCAGGATTTGAATGCAGACATCTGGTTCCAGGGTTCCTGCTTTTTTTTTTTTTTTTTTTTTTTTTTGAGATGGAGTCGAGCTCTGTTGCCCAGGCTGGAGTGCAGTGCCGCGATCTCAGCTCACTGCAAGCTCCACCTCCTGAGTTCACGCCATTCTCCTGCCTCAGCCTCCTGAGTAGCTGGGACTACAGGTCCCGCCACCACACCCTGCTAAT